TTTTTTTTTTTTATCTTTTATTTTTTTTATTTTTACCAACACACACACAGTGCACACGAGAAAACTAGTGTGGAGGAGTTTTCAACCTCGTCCCGTTTTTCTTTACACCACCCCTTCACCCCCTTCCTTTTTCCTAGCCACCTCCACTTTCTTCCTTTTTTTTTTTTATCTTTTTTCTTTTTTATNTCTCTTTTCTACTTTTCCTTCTTTCTCCTCGTCATCTTTCTACTCTTTTTCGTGCTTGCACGCCACGCGAAATCTATTCAATTTACTTTTTTTCTAGCAAAGGGATCTACTCCGACGAAAGAAGATGTCTCTCCTTTCTCTTCCTATGTTAAAAAGATAGAAAAAAAAAAAGATTAAAAAAGGAGCATAATTGGAAGGACGACGAGCGAATAGCTAAGATCGTCCGTTAAAGTACACACGACGTTTCCAAGGACTACGAACGACTATGAACGACTACGGTGCTTAAAGCTTCGAAAAGGCTCTTTCAAACTTCACAATTTCGTTCTCTTAACGTCAAAAAAGATTTCCTTTCTGTGATTTTGTCTTTAACGTTTTATTTTCTTGCAACCTCTCTCTCTCTCTCTCTCTCTGTCTCTCTTTCTCTTTCTTGTTGTTTTTTCTTCCTTCTTCTTCTTCTTCTTCTTTTCAAACTATACCCAAAAGGACTTTTAACGATCTCGACTCGATCTTTCTAACGTAGTTGAGAAAATACGTGGAACGATCATTTAATTAAAACGGTAATCTTCTTATTCTCGAAATAAACCAATAAAAAGTATCATACAATAGATGGGAAAGTTTTTTCTAGAAATGACTATAAAACAAAGGAAGGGGTGGGGGTGAGTGGGTGGAACAACGTATCGCATAGATTTTTTACTAGAAAACACATACATTTGTACGTTTCTATTTAGTTAATGACTCAACAAAGTTGCTTTCATCTATTTTTATTGAAAATAACATGAAACTTTGTTTTAAAATGTATATATTATTTGTTACTTAGTTGTACGAATTTTGTTTATTGTATAAATCTAAGTCACATACTTAATAAGGTATTATAATTAATATCAAGTGTTCTGAAGATGATGTTACAAATATTTAAAAGTGTACACGTTTATGTTCAAAGAAAATACGTAAATACGTTCGTACGTGAGACACTTGATATCTAGTCTGATTTAAATCTTCTTAATATACATAAATTACGTGTCACGTTGTTTGTTCGCAATGGACTCCTAAACTACTACACCAATTTTAATCAAATTTTGCATACTATGTGCAGTTTCATCTAACTTGAAAGATAGGATAGTTTATATCTCAATTTATTGCGAATTATTTGTTTATTAACAAAGAGTCATGATTATCTCTGTTAGTTCGATAAGATTCTAACAAATCGTGGAATAAGGTAATTCGTTGACTTAAAGACATGTGTATCGGACTGATTGTGAGCCACAGGAACGCATGACAGGGCACACCTAGTATAATATATGTAGGAGAGTTTTAAGTGACGAAGATGCAGACAAAAAACTAGTATTCAGTTCTTTTCTTTATATTTTATTTTCTGCAAAGGAAAACTCTATTCAAAAAGAAAAGATTAGGATTGCCATAAAACCATAATCAAACCTAAGAATTATCGAGATATATTGGTTTGATGAAAACCCTTTGTGCAGTGTCGGGCCCATTGAGAGGTTTCGGATTCCTATGTAAACACATGCGATACCATAAAAAGAGATAACATTCCGATGTTCTAGATCAAGTTTTTTTATGCATAGTTTTCACTACTAAAAATCATAGACTGTACTCGTCAGTGGACTATGGGGTGGATCCTTATGCTATTGGTCAATAAGATTCGTAATCTCTTTCCCTCTCAAAAGGGGTGTAAGTCATTTCTGATATAAAATACGTGGAAAGAAATAATAGGGTAGTCGCAGTCGCAGTCGTAGCCATGGTTAGTCATCAGTCGTAACAGTCGCAGTTGTATTATAAGTCGTTATCAGTTGTAAGAATACAGTCGTTATCAGTTATAAGAATACAGTCGCTCATCTAAGTTGTAATCGTAAGATGGTGAAACTATTATCGTACTTTTTCTAATACCTGTTTTAAATATATGTTATTAGTAGGATTAAACTGGGTGTATGTTCACCTCGAACCTGTCACCCTAAATAAAATTCCCTACATATATATCATATCATTTATTATTATTTTACATATAAAAACAATTACTCTACTTTTATTTAAATATGAACTTATGTGGCTCATAATTTGCAAAATATTGTTTCCATTAAAATAATGTACAACACATAATATACATTTCGTCTAGAAATATATTTTTTTTAAACTAATCAAAAACTGAAAAAAAATAAAAATAAAAAATAGAATCAAAAAATTATAAATAATATTACGAAGGATTAATCTTTTGAGTGCTAAATACTTTTAACTAAAATGTTTTGTAAAAACGGAATAATATATTATTCTAATAAAGATTCTAATAATAAATAATATTTAATAATTAATGTTTCTATTTCTATTTTATTCCTTCTTTTTTTTATCTTTGGTCAAGAAAAAATAAAAAATAAAAACAAGTGTAAAATAAAAAATCAAATAAAAATTAAACGAATCTCGAAATATGAAAATGTCTTCGAATTGGTTAAAACGTTTAACGAGAAGAAATGTTTTCGATGGAAATGTATAAAAAAAAAAAAAAAAACAAAAAAAAAAATAAAAGAAAAACCATAAAGGAAGAAAATCAGAGAGGATAGAAGAAAAAAAGGGAGGAGAAAAAACGAATCGAAAGCTTTCCGAGATTGGCCGTTGGAAAGAAGCTCGGTTTGGTAATATAGAAAACCCTGGGCTGGTTGGTTGGTTGGTTGGCTGGCTGAATGTTCGAGTACTAATCCTAGTGTAATAATGGCTTACGCGCTAGCAAGCTCGCAAGCTCGCAAGCTCACTTTTCTAGTAGCGAGGACGTGGCCAGTCCTCTACTTGACTCCGCAGTATTACCGACCACTTCTACCCTCATCGGACGTGACCTCCGACCCATTATACGATCCTTTTTATTCCGCTATATGATCCGTAAATCTTTTCGGCTTTTTCCCATGAATCACGGCTATACACGAAACATATATATATATATATATATTTTTTTATTAGGGTGGTACTTATTTACATCATTTTGGAAATTTGTGTTTTATAATATATATATATATATATATATATTAATATCGTATTATAATTAATTTATTATATATTATATAATATAATATTAAAATTAACATAATAATTAAATTATTAAAATAATATAATATAATACTTTAATTAATATAATTTATTATATAATTTATTACATATTGTATAATTAATTTATGTTTACTATTATATATATATTATTTTTATTATTATTTATATTACAATTACATTTATTGTATATATAGAGTATGATGGTAATTATTAATTTTATTTTTAATTTAATACTAATTTTTGTGTTTTTCCCTTAACCTAAATATCATCTAAATAAATACAATTTAACCGAGACACCCTATAAGATTCACATAAAAAAAAAATCCCTCGCGTGTTTTCATCCCTCGTTCTGCTTATAATTCCAGTTGCCATTGTAATATTTCCATATGAAAGGTTTAATCCCTGATCTGATCGATTTAAATGAAAATGCTACGATCTTTTAAACGAAAAAAAAAAAAACGATTATCCTAAAGTCTAGAGAGACTGTCGGAGTAGATTAAAAGAAAAAAAAATGAAAGAAAAGAAGGGGAAAAAGCCGAAAAATAAGAAAAAAAAAACAAAACAAAAAAAAAGAAGAAGAAACGCAAAAACGCGACGATTTATTCGTGCGAATGAATTCGAACGTTGAATAAAAAAAAAAAATAAAAAAAATAAAAAAAAAAGAGAGAAAAGGGCGTGGAAGAATCATGAAGAACGAAAGGGTGGAAGGAAGGTAAAATGGTTGGGGGTAAAACCTGCCGACGTAAGCGACCGAATAAAAAAGAAGAAGAAAACAGGTACGGCAGAAGATATTGGTGGAAAAGAGGAAGAAGATGAAGCAGAAAGAAAATAAAATATACATATATATATATATATATATATATATATAATAAAATAGAGAAAAAAAAAATGGGAAAAGGGTTGGGGTAGAAGAGTGGCATCGAATGTTGCTTTCGAAATAGATACGAAGCGTTCTCCCTTTCCAAGTTGACTTCTAGTACGGAAAAGGAAGATCGTGGAAAAGTCACGCGCCCCGTTTGTCTTTTTTACCCTTTGCCTCTCTCCCACCCCCCCTTTTACCACCATCCTCTTATACAACCACTACCGAATAACAACTTTAGGCTTTGCTACTTTGCCAGCTTGAAACCAAATGCTATATACACACTACGGTATTAACGTAGTTCTTCGGTTTTCCCTTCTATTTTACAAAACAAATTCACGTGTTTCTCTTCAACCAACCATTTCTATTCAATTTACATATACACACACAAATATATATATATATATACAGGAACATATAAACGTTTGTACGTATAAAGAGAGAGATATTTATTTATTTATGTTATTAGATACTTTTTTAATCTTTTGAATCATTTTGAATCATTTCAATTCAATTTACATATACACATATATATAGTGACTCAAACAATTGATCAAATGTTCTCACAGTGTTTCAATTTTGAACAAATTTGATCAATACGATACGATTTGTTAATTTTATTTAATTTTGATTAAAATTTGTAACATATTTAAACTATTTCTGTACTATGTGAACTACGAAAACTATCTATGTATTATAATCAAATATTTTCTTACATTTCTTATTAAACTGTATTCAATTATATACAAATTTAAATACTGTGATAACATTTGATCAATTGTTTGAGTCACTGTATATATAGAGAAACATATAAACTTCTATATGTATATAGAAATATTTATTTATGTTATTAGATACTTTTTTCATTGATTAATATTAATATGTATTTTGCATTTTATTTTTACAGCGATAGCGGCATGGCCGAGGCAGGAACAACCCTGTCCAATAGCAGGAGACTTTTGCATGAACGGTGGTACCTGCCTATTTTTTGAGACTGTCGGTGAACCAGCATGCAGGTAAATACACAAACATTCATATTTTCTTTTTTCTTTCCATTTTTATTTATCCAAAATTTTGGTAAAATCTTCCACAGAAAAAAAAAATAATTTTAATCACATTTTGTACACGTTTTTATCTCTGTATCGATCGTATTATTTTATAATAATATTCGAGTTTTTATTTATTATTTTTTTCTAGACAATATTTCGTAAAATAATTGTCATCCAGTTTTTCTATTTTCATCTTCAACAGACTACAATTCAATTATCTACGAGATAGTTGAATTTCGAATAGTATTCTCGCGATAAACGAAGGATGAAAATGGTAAAGTGAAAACGAGAAATGTCGAAATAAAGGTACTCTCCTCTGTCTCTTACTTTTCAATGGTCATTTTATTTTCTCGAGAAACGAAAGAAAATCGATTTTAAATATAAATGGACAGGATATCGACGCGTTAAACGTTTACCTTTCCTTTTTAGATATATCGATATATATTTTTTAGTGTTTCTACTATTACCAAAGAAACTTCTTACCTTTTCTCACGGTTGACTTCTTCACGGTGAAACTTCTTGGTTTCTTCTTCTTATCGAAAAAGAAGACACTGAATATAATACGAAATATTCTATGAAATATTCAATTTGTCGATAGAATTATATCATCTATATTATCTTATTACAAAATAAAAATTCAATGTACGCGATTATATTGAAATGATTGATATTAAAATGTTCGTCATTATTTTAAATAAATGAAGTTGAGTTATGAAAAACAACGGAGTTTGCCTGTTTTGTGTATCTTATGAATTAAATTCATACTCACGCGTGTTATAGAAAAAAATTCTAATGCCAAAATTATACTAATATATTATACATACAATTGTACGATTATATAGAAATGATTTTGATATTAACATTTTCATCATTATTTTAAATAAATGAAATTGAATGATAAAAAAAAAAACCAAAGAGGTTGCCTATTTTGTGTACTTTACGAATAAAATTCATACACACGTTTGTTATCTGAACAAACGAAGAAACTCTAATGCAAATAATATTATAATATATTATACGTACTTATACATTAAATCCATCTATATTTCGTGTTGGTATAAAACAAAAGATTCACCGAAAAGCATCCACGTGAAAGCACTTAAAGCTTAAGTACATATCACGTGTACAAGTATATTCATACTAAACGTAGAACACGATTTATATAACATAAATATACATACGACTGATTCTATAACATTTAAATAAACTAACATGTAAAAACAGTTCATTTGTAAGACACTAGAATCCTGATATAATTATGAAAGATTTTGTCACAGTTTGGGAAGAATTAACAAAAAACGGTGTTAAAACGGGTTACTATTTGCAATTTAGTGTGAATATACATCGAAGAATAAATTGATCGTGAAATTCTGGCATACTTGTCACCTAGAACAAAAAAAAAATAAAAAATAGTGAAATAATACGGGTAAGGTAGATACATACATATATATATATATATATATCGTATGTATTTTACGTGGGTGCATTTTGACGTCGGTGGGTGCACTCGTTAAACAAATTTGGTGGACCAGTCGGCACCGGTTATTCGTGAGATAAAAGCTACACACTACCTCCCAAGAGAATCTCGTAAGCTTTTGTGAAGGTGAAAGAGAGATGGATAATAGAAGAGAAATAGAACATATGTAGAGAAAAGTGGGGAAGGGGGTGGGGGTAGAGAAAAAGAAAATAAAAAAAAAAAAGAACAAGATCAAAATGAGCGAACGAGTGTGTGTGAAAGAGAGTGGGAGTTGGTAGGAAGAAGAGGAGGAGGAGGAGGATGAGATGAGAGTATCAGAAACAAAAAAATAAAAAAGGGTTAGGTAGATAGAAAAAGAGTAGACGTTATGGCCTATGGCCAGGATAAAAGGGAACGTACACCACTATTACTACTACTACTACTATTACTACTACTACTGATACTACTGATACAACTACGGTGTCATCGGTTGACGAGGGTTTATTGGCTTTATCGAGGAATCGAGTCGTTCCCAGAGGAATAGAAGAAGAGAGAAAGAGAAAGAGAGAAAAGTCGACGGATTGAAAGGAAGATGCGTGACGCATTTCGAACTTTACGCGTGTGTTTCTATTCGATCGGAGTTCATCCAATGATCTGCAAAAAAAAAAGAAAAATAAAGACTAATAAATAAAAATAAAAATAAAAAGAAGAGAGCAAGAACGAAAGAGAAAAAAGAAAGAAAAAAGTATAACAAAAAACAAGTGAAGTATTTTATAGAAATCTTGGCTCACGTCCATTACTACAATATCGAACGAATATCGATCGATCGATCGATCGATTGTACGAAAGAACGAACGAACGAAAGAGAATATTCTCGAGCTTTTCTTTTTTTTCTTTTTTGTTCTTTTTCGTTTGATTTCTTTATAATGCTACTAGGATGCACTGGGATACTGCAGATACAAGGCTGTGAAACATTGAAATATTTAAGATTGGTTTGTGGTTATTTTCAAAATTATTTAATATATATTTAGTTTTTTTTTATTTTTTTTTTGCTTCTTTTAGTTGGAAACATTTCAATTTGATTAATAATTTTTAATTATTAAATGGTATTATATATATTTTTATTTTTATTATAATTATTAATTATTAAATGATATTATATATACATATATTTATTTATATTAATTTATATATAAAACTGAATTATATATATTTTTATATTATTTATAATTATTAATTATAAAACCGTATTATATATATATATATATATATATATATATATATATTTATTATATATTATGTATATAATATCAGAATTGATTATAAATTCATTGTGTAATAATTTTTCCCCATAATTTTGTTCTTTGACTCATCGACAAATAACAAAGTACCTCAGCCAATTAGAAGATCAAGTTTAAACCGTAAAGTTTATCTAACAGAACCCGGAAACATTCGGGGGTAGGGGTGGGGGGGGGGTGGTAAAATGCGAACGGAACGGAAATTGTATATAAATACGACTGCAAACAATCCCCTCCACCTCCCACCCTTGAATCCGAAATGCACCAGAATGCAAACTTTTTCGATGTCATCTGGCCAAGTAACGCTCGTAAATCTCATTCTCGAAGGTACTTTTGCGAAGCTCTCGTACGCCAACCAAAACTCCTTTTATATCCTTCTCCGTTTTCCTTCCATCCAACTACTGTATTCCCTTTTCTCTGAGATCCTTTCACCTCCTCCTACAACTCACCTCCTCCTCTCTTTCTCGTTTGTTTCTCTTATCCAAAGTCTCCTCTTACTACCACTTTCGACTCGTTAACTTTACGCTTTTACACTTCTTATCGTTTCAAAGGGACAAATTGCCTAATAAAATATCACTCCTGAACTGAAACGACGATTTTAGTATGAAACCAGGAATAATATTTTTTTATATCTTGAATAAAAAAAAAAAAAGAGGACGGAGGTAAAAATTCATTCCTTGTTTCTTCAACTTTTATACATTTTTGTTTTTTTTTTTTTGTTTTTCACTCCCCTTTCACCCACTTTTCTTGAAATCTTTATGAAGTAGGAAAAATACAATCGATGTTTTATTGAAAGCAAAGATGAATAAGAATATCGATTTATACAGAAACAAAAATAAAAAAAACCCCGATGAAGTGGAAATACTTCGATGCTTGTGAAAATATTGATTGCAATAGTATTCTATACTTCAAGATAATAATTCGATAATTGTGTATTTAACTATATATTACTAATATACTTTATATTAAGTTAATTATGTTATTAAGAATATTGTTAAAAGAGGTGAATAAATAAAATCATTAGTGAAGCTTTAAATTAGTACTAATATATTATATATAACGTTGGCAACACGTACGTACACTCACATCGAAGTCTTGTTGAAGAGAGAGAAACGTTAGAGCATCTCATAGTTCTCGCGGTCACGAGATACACACACACACACACCATAAGAGAGGATTCTTACATGTTTGCCTCGCTCTCACACACTCATCTAAGCACTCATCAATATTTACGTATTGAACTTGGTTGAACTTGGCGAAATACTAAATAAATTTATCATGTACTGTATTCTAACGTATTCTAACGAAGTATTCTAACGAAGATTATATAATATTTATTATAGATTACAACAAGTATATTAATAATATTAATAATATTACAAAATACACAACAATAGTTTGAATAAAACATGTAGTTCATTAAATTTCTTTCTTTCATTATATATTTAAATTGTTATATTTTTTAGTTAAAGTAAATTACAAAAATTAAATATATATTATATTATAATTTTATATATATAAAATATATATATATAAAATTTTAAATTTATATAATTATATAATAAATATATATAAAAATATATGAAAATAATAAATATAAATAATAATATAAATAATAATATATAATATATATTACTATTTATTGTATAATACATAATTTAGTATTAATTATATAATATATAAATTATATGTGTAAATATATAAAAATATAAAATATAATATAATATAATATTAAATATATTATATAAATATTATAATTATATAATAAAAATATATAATAATAATAAATATAAAAAAATATGTATCTATATACATATAGATATATATCTGAATATAACTCTGAGTGCAAAGGGTTAAACAATATCAGGAAATATTCATTTTATCTTTGTTTTTATCACTGTCTGTATTCCTGACCACCTATTCACCTGTCTCTGTGTGTCTGTTTAAATGATAACTATCCCTAATAGAATAGGATATAAATCGTTGCAAATAGAATCCTATCGTATCATTGAAATATCTACAATATTCATCATAACAGCTTATGCAATTAAACTTCTATTACGTATTGATAGGTTAAATACTACTGATAGAAATAATTTATGATTTAATCAATATGACGACAAAACCCCCATATAATAATATAATATATATTTCAATCATCTTTATTTGAATTGGTCAATAAAATGAAAATTAGTATGCTATTAATCGTTAAA